CAAGAATGAAACATTTGTTCTCCGGTCATGAATGATTAGGCAATGTGAAATTTGAGGCAAAAAATAAGTCATCTCTATTCTTTGCTGGTTTTGTACCATAAAGGAATGTTGCATTGTTTTTTTACCATAAAAATAAATAGTTAAAGAATTAGCAGTCAAAAGTGTTTGTTGGAGAGAATTTCGCTTTGTGAATTGTTTGCCGGAAGTGGAGACATGTCAGAGCCAGTATCGAACAAGAATGAAACGTTTGTTCTCCGGTCATGAATGAACAGGCAATGCGAAATTTGAGGCAAAGAATAAATCATCTCTATTCTTTGCTGGTTTTGTTTCCCTGCCATGAACAAGGTTTGATACACTTCTCCTGTCGACAGTTTTTTTTCCAAAATGCCTATGATACCAGCAAATAGAATAATCTCCTCTTTTGGAACAGCTCCTTTATTGTGATCTCTGCGATTTGGTGAGTGACTTCAAAAAAGAGTGAGTGACTTCACAATTAATATGTTTGTTTAATTTTTCTATATCTTTAAATAACGTAGTCTCAATAGATTGATTGACTGTGGAAGGAATGGCACAAGTCCTTGGGGTTGGATTTACTTCTAAGATTCTGCCAGCAGTTTTAGCAGCTTTGTCAAAAGTTGAACCCAAAACCACTGCCAAAATAGACTAAATTGTCAAAGACAAAATGCTGAAGGAATAATTCTAACATTAAGTTATCAGTAACAATTAAGGATTAAGCTCGATGTTTCATATTTCTAAGCAAATCGGAAGATTTTCAAGAGCCTAATTCCTCTCCAGATAATAATTGGCATATTTCTCGCTCAGAAGATTCTCCTGATTGGTTTAACTAAGTTTTGAGCTTTGTATAAGGATCAGTTAGAGTCTGGTTTAATGAGTGAATCCTGAACTTATGACACAATATCTGGAGGAAGATGAGCAACTGCATAATTTTATTTAGTAACTGATACTGTGATATGTTTGGGAATGGCAAGAGCAAAGGCATGTACATCAGACATTTTAAGCCAAAATAAAAGTAAAAATTCAACTGAAGAAAATGAAATACAAATGATAAGTAGAAAACAAAATTATAAAGTGATCTATAATTACTACTCATCTAATTGGTGTAATCCATAGGTTTTGATTTGGAAATGATGAGCCTTTAAAACCAAAAGTACTTGCAAACTTTTCACATGGTCTGATTTAGTGAAGTCCTGTTGTCACTATGGTAGACATCATAGTGATATCTACCTGATTCTCATTGTCCATATCACATTAAATATTCTCACTGCATTAATCAAATTTTATCCAGACATAATACATGATACAGAGGCTGTTTGCACATTTTTTAGGTGATTTTGCTTTGCTATTAAAAAAAATCGCCTGAATGGAAAATTTCTTTTTAATTGCATCTACAAGTATATTTTTGAAAGGGTAAATTATCACCTACTATTTGACAATTTCATTTTCATGCAAAATGGCTCTTCTACAGAAGTAATGAGGCTACATTTGTACACTTTCCAAAGACTATTCGTATTTAATGATTAAAAAGTGCTGTGAAAGCCACAATTTTTTAGTATCTAAAGCAAAGATACATAATATTGTCAATAAGAAAAGAAAAAAGTCAAAGTTCACCTTCAAGGAAAAAAATTATTCAAAATAAATATTCACGAAATAAACAGAATGTTTCGATTGTTGTAAAGGTAAGAACTTTAATGTTAAAAGAAAATCTTCGAAGTTAAAAGGACAGTTGAGTAATCATTAAAATGCTCAGTGTCAACTGCAAACAAAGTTATTAATGCTGATTTGAATCTCGTAAAGGCAAAAAAATGTAATGTGCATCGTCTTCCTCCATGACATATGGCCAAAAACAGAGCGCGCTGCAGAATTCTCTACAAGAAACAATTATTTAGACAGAAATGGAAAAATATTGTCAAAATAGATTAATCTTGGGTATATTTAAATGACCGTAATAAAACGGGATCCATTTATTATCATCAAAGAGAAAAAAAAATCTTAGAACAAGGTTCAAACAATCTAAAGAAAGTTTTTCAAAGGGATTTATGATTGCTGTTATTTTGTGATATAATGAGAAATAAAAATTACACAAAGTGCAAAAAAACTGTTAAGGTCAACTCCACATATTATCAGGAAAAATTTTTACACCCAACTTTCAAATATGGAATACCTTCACTATACCAACAGTGCCATCAAACAGTAAAAATGTATCAAGACAAAACAAACAGCTACATGTCAAACCACTTAATTTTCTGGGGGTAAAAAAATTGAAAAAGTAACGCGTATCAAGGCCAGACCCTTCACTCATATCCCTACTAAATTTCCTGATGTAAATTATTGGCAAAATATTTCTGTAAATACAATTAAGATTGCTTAAAAAGTGTGTGAACAGCCTCTGTATACATGAATCTTTATTTTGAGAACAAATATGCTACTACTCCTCAACAGCCCATCTCTGTTCCTCCTCTGTGCTTCTCCAAAATTTCTCCTTGGTGTTGCTGTATTTATTAGCAGACACATGGGGGTGCAAGGCACACTCCTTTATTGCTATCACCACACAACACATTTAACCATTTAATTACTTTATCTAAACTCGGTATTATCTTATGCAATCAATTTGTCAGTTAAACATTAATTGCACAAATACTATATTATACTATATTTCCTAGCATACTATCCTACCTAACATTTTAGCACAAGCTTCTGAAAACTTTTAACATATTCACATAGTTTTCCCCTTGCTCTACTGTAGACAGTTTTTCCGAGTGTTTGTTTATTGATAGATCGTAATCCTTTATTTTTTTTTTATTTCATGTATTCAATTTGAATTTACATTTTTGTATTAGAATTTCATGTATTTTACTTTTTCTTGCATTTATTATTTGAATTCCCTTGGATTTATTAATAATTTTGTGCAGATTCTTCATTAAGCAGATTCTTCATGGATGTGGCAGATAATCTCACACTTAAGAAACTGTTGAAACATATTAGAAATCAAGCCATCCTCCTTCTTCATTCCTCCAATGTCTTTCTTGGAAATTGTGATGACAACTCGTTCATGTGAGGTGCTCCTGGGGCTTTAAAAGGTAACTGAGAAAGATACTGGCTCAATTATCATCATGTATTGTAATGTTAACATTACTATGCATTCTTAACGGAATGTAGGTTTTTTTTTAAAGAAATAAGAATGCAGAAAGTTGCCAGTAGTTAATTCAAGACTACTTTTCATTCTGTATGTTCTTCCTGTACATATATTGTTCAGAAATTAAATTACTTGCAGAATTTTCCCCCTCTCACTTTTGGAATGATAAAATTAGTTTAAAAAAAAAAAAAAAAAAAGGAGAGGAAACATGGCTATATACCATTCATTAGTTAAAAAAATCTGATGTGTACACCATGACTTCCTTGTATGCAATATTAAATTATACGCATTTTTTCTTGCATTTCATTTAAACTTATTGGATTGAATTAAATCTACTTCGCCGACAGCGCATAAACCACATAAGAATAAATGCATTCTTTAAAATTCACTCTATTTGTTTACCATAGCGACACTCTGGCACTAGGTTCACTTAACACTATTATATTTCATTCATATCATAACTCAAAATGCATAAAATTTATATCATTTAAAGAACTATCTAATCATTGCCACATGTTCTATTCAAATACTGTAATAAAACTAGAATGATGTATAAAAGAAATTAAGCAAACAAAACAAAAAAGAAAGAGTTTTTCACAGACGATTCAGTATTTCTCATTCAATTAATTCAGTTCTCCCTTCGCGACAAGGCAAAACTACATAAAAATTCAAAATATCTGTATTAAAAATTACGAAGTACACCTTAAACACTTATTTCCTCGAAAAAATTCAAGAAAGGATTAAGAATGATTTAATTCGCAATAATATAAATGAAGGCGTTATCTTTGTTGTTGCGAAGCTAAGTTTCTCTAGATTGGCAACAAATCCACTGTTCTGCTGTTTCAAATGTAAACAAGCATTGGCCGCCATCAAAAAAAATTTTTAGGCTTAGCGGCACTTAAACAACTTTAAAATTGCTGATGATTCTATAAATATTGCATACAGATTTACTAAAGGCATAAAAACCTTAACCGGAAGATAAGAACAACATAATTCAATCATTTTTAAAGCGAAAAATGTACAATTTACAAACATATAAGAGTAAAGAAACTGAGATCACTGAGCAGGGTAACAGAGTGGATATATATATAAATATATTTATATACGTTTGGTGCGGCCAAATGCAACCAAAATACGAGGTGCACATCTACATGTTATAGCAGTCTTATATACAAAATTTCAACGTTCTGAGGCTACTCTTTTTTGAGTTATGCAAGATACGCACACACATACGTTCGTACAGACGTCACGAAAAATTCTCTTTAGAATTCCTTTTAAAGCAGTTTTATAATTTTTTTGGAGGAAAAGAGTCTTTCATTCTGTCTTTACGTACAGATATCACACAAAAACATTGTTAAATTTCATTCGATTTTCGTTGAAATATGCTCCTTAAAACTTTTCGCGATTAGAATACTTCCTTTTTACTTTGTACAAGGAAGTAAAAAGGAAGGAAATTATGGTATATAACATTCATTATTGTCCTGTTAGATCTTAGAACATGTTACAAGTGATGAATACACAGCCATTTCTGTACATAATATAAAATTAGAGCAACAATACATCATACTAAATAATTTAAAACAAATACATTCATTTATATACTGCACAACATAAAGTAAAAGGGTTTTAAGAAACAATATAGAAAAATACATAACAATTAAGGTGACTGGAACAAAACTATAAATTTCACACTTTCATTCATATTTATTTAGAATGTCTAACACGGCATGTACTTAATTGCCATTTTATTGAGTATAAGACAGAACTTTACAAACAATGATTAAATTCGGTTTTTACTAAAATACTGCACAATACAAAAATATAAATCCAGAATGGATATACTTACATTTCCTACATTATCACCATCAATTTTATCCAGCTCTAGCAAAAGTGTAGAAAACAGATATGAATATTTTTTAACTAAAGATAATAAAATAACTTTACCTTCTTTAGACAAACAATTTTGCAGGGTTTCTTCAACAAAAGAAACCTAGTGCATGAAAATGAAATACAGAAAATTACTAGAAGATTACTAGAAATACTAAAAGACTCTAAAACATGCAAAAAGACTTTCAAATTCATAAAATTTAATTTCATTGCAGATCTGCATTTGCATAAACATGTATGGCTGCAAATAATATAACACAAATAGTAAATATGTGACAAAATAACACAGTACATCAAAACTGCCATACTAAAATTTTGATTTATAAACAAATCTACCTTTAAAAAAAATAAATAAATAAGGGCAGAAAGGTGCTGTTGTCTTGAAACTCACTTTTTGTCCAAATCATTTTCCAAATTGTTTCAACCAAATGTAATTGCGATGCAAAGAAAAAATCTGAATTTTTAATACTCGCAGTCCTCCACCTGAACATAGCCACAATTTTGAACTGATTTCTGATTTATCCCAGATTTTTGTACAAATTTAATGAATTTCTGTTTAACAAACTCGGAAATCTGAAGCACTAACTGGCAACACTGTTCAAAATAAAACTTATTTATCTCAAGTGTGCCAGGCTGCTGCCATTTGGTAGCATATTTACCTTTTAATTTAAATTGTAACATATTTACCTTTTACCCTTATAATTTTTTAGAAACTCAATTCTTCCAAATTCTCATGAATAATGATCCCAATCATTATAATGTTCAGAGTAGACAGAGTGATCACAAAGGGGGGGAAAATGCAAAGATTTTATTTTGATCATTCATAGAAACCAGAAAACTCCCTTAACAGAAGGGCGTTCTGAGATACCACAGCTTATAAATATACTTGTTATTAACTAGTTACACAGCTTTTTGGTTTACCTGTAACACCACACATAGCACAAATACAGCCCAGACATTTAAAATTAAATGCATAGCATATGAAGAAAATTCTGAAGAATTTATTTATCTGTCTGAGGACAGATATTTCAGACACTGGGAAGAAAACTGGAAGCACTGTTTTGTGGCTTTAATCATTCAACCATGCACCAGCAGGTCTAAAGTAGAGATAGATCCGAGTCTCATCCGCATATATAAAATATTTATTAGTATTACGAAAATTATTTATTTATTTTATTAATATTAATTTTACATTTTTTATGAATTTAGGCTTAATGTTCAGTATGAACTAAAAAGATTTGTTTTTGACACTAAAAGAAAGAGAGCAACTATTGTCTGGAATAGTTCCAATACTGATGTGTTTCATGACATCTGTTACTTGCTAACATTGTTTAGGAATTCCCCGTGACTAGCAAAATATAACTTTGAAAGACTATTATATTGTCAATATTTAACATAAGTTCACGTGCTAATTTTAAGCAAATTTTTTATAAGTTTTCAGCATTAAAAATTTCCTTCTTATATAGAAGAGTCCAATGTAGTTAGCTCTGCTTTGGGTTAAGAAGTTGTTATCCATTAGGTTAAAAACAGCATGAGTATGATGACATTGAATAATATTAAATTCACTTCTTGCATATGAATTAAAATGACACAGTTAAGCTGTCCTTTATAAGCAGTTATAGCTCTCCTTGATTTCAAGCCTTTTTTTAATGTAAATTCATACCTTTTCCTTTTAAAACAAGTAAGTATGCACAATACAGAAGCAATTACTCATCAATTAACTACCATGGGAAAATAAATAAATAAATAATCCGAATTATGCAAAATATTGTTCCCCTCGCTTGCTATAAATATAATCGAAAACATACTTTTAACTGGTGAATGATCAAATTTAAAGTTCCTGCAGTTATTTATTTATTTATTTATTTATTTAAGCAAGCAAAAGTCCTAAAGTTCCCTAAAATTACATGTATCAAAAAAATTTAAACAAATAGTTCTTTTCTTTTCATACAATTAAATTACTTGAAATTTATGTTTACTAAAAGTTCATGGTCTGTAAAAAGTACTAAAAAAGTAACACATGGTATGACTACGTTAGTGGCTATTTGAAAGTCTACCACATGAAGAGGGTTGCTTGAATGAATTCTTCAGTGTTCAAGAAATTACACTTACCTAAGAGATTTTGTCATTTTATCAGAAAAAGGTAAAAAAGAGATATATAAATGCTTTAAAAATTTGAATAGAAAACAAAATTCAGCATACCAAATAAACTGAAGCTTAAGTATCTTATAACTGGTGGGCGATCAAAATCAAGGTTCATAATCATAATTTCTATTAATCCAGCAAGAGGAAAAGAAATAGAATTGGAACAACTAAAAATTATGAAAGTTATTATATTTTCTTATAACCCTAAATGTTGTGGACTAAAAAAATAGGGTTCTTCCCTTTTCCTCCAAGATCACATTTTTCTGACCCCATACGATTTGTGCTTTGTTTGCACTCAGTTTTGATTTCAAATTGCTGAGTTTTATGCGTAATCCTTGCTAAACAGTCAAATTTATGGCAAAACTGAAACAGATGTGTCATAATATAAAAAGATTTTCAATAAATACAAATTTATGATTTTTATCCATCAGAAATTTAAAATACTTGCAAATTTTATGACAAAATTCAAAGATGTGGTGGGAGGCGCCCACCTGGCTACATGTCAGTACATACATATATAAATATTGTACTATATACATTGAGTTTTTGCAATGGCTCGACATCTAGGCTACAGGTATATATTTCAATAGGAGGAAAATATTTATCTCAAATACAGCAAAAGATTGCAGTTGGAAAGGAATGACATGTCGAGGAAAACTGAATGCTAAACAACATTATTTAGCATCAATTTTACTTTAAAGAAGGACTTTCAGCAAATTAACTCTACCTCTTCTTTCAGATGTAACTAAATAACATAAAAGTGCAAAGCAGCTGAAGAAGAGAGTAGTGTTTAATTGCTTAATACACTTCTACTAAAATAAAACTGATGTCACATAATATTATTTTATTTGTATTCAGATTATTACAATATTTTTTCAACAAATGCAACTTTCCCTGAATTATCATTGAGCCATCAAAAAGTTCCAACTTACAGCTATGTGTGTGGGGAACTGGTAAGCGAACAAAAAACGTTCAATTTCATGCTTGAGTTTTACTCAAAATGCAACAGAAAATATTTTAAACAATGGTATTAGTAAGTGGGATTATTAGATAAGTAAATATAAGTATGGCAACAGTATATATCACTGTTAATTTGCATGGTTATGAGATCATATATACACATTTCAGTGATTATTCCCAAACTAGAATCAGAATTTTTATTTTCCTTCCACTGTTCTAAAGTTGAAAATTTTGGGGATTAAGCAATTACAAAAGTGTAAGGGCTTTTATTTTCACAAAGAAATACTTCCTTATAAACAAATAATTTTTTTGAGGAAAGATTACAAAAAAAATTGCACATGATTTTCTTGTAAATGATTTTAATATGACAAAAAGCTAATGTTTTGATGCCTACTAAATCAAAAATAGGCTATTTCTAAAATCTTATTCAAAAAAGTCAAAAGGGCAACCTTTATTAAAACATGTATAACAACATTTCATACAAAAAGATAGCAGTTAAATCATGACATGAAAGCTAACCTTGATTTAGAAGACTGTCACAAATAACAATAAAATTACCTGATATATTTCATGAATAATAAATTGTAGGAAGTTCTCATCTCCACTATTTGAAAAAGCAACTGCTTTACACAAATTCAAGAAGTATATCTGATCCTGTTGTGACACACTTTTCAATTTTTTGAATAATACATGCTGAGCGGAGTCATCTATAGTTTTCAAATAAGAAAAATTTTTAATTTTAATTGATAAATGCAAATAAAAATAATAAGGTAATGTGTGGAAAAAATATACACTAGATGAAAATAATGCCCCTCCCCCCCCAAAAAAAGAGATTTATTTATTTATTTATTTATTCCTACTGAAGAGAGCCTTGTGCCACTCTTAAAATCAATAGAATTTTTATGTAAAATCTATGCCAATCTTTTTTTTTGGGGGGAAAGGGCTTAATTTTACATGTCTAAGAATATCAAGTACTTAAATAAATTAAACAAGTACTTAAAAAGTTTGTGGAAAAGTCATGTCACATGTATGCAATAACTGAATTTGATACAACAATTAATTACATTCATTCCGCATAAGAAATGTATAAATTGAAATCACCAGAACAATGCAGTTCATAGTATAATATGTAAAGAGAATTAAAGCATCTTTCAACCATTTGGTGTAATGTTGCATTATCAGCAAAATGCAATTAAGCATTGATCAGGCACAAACTGTTGTCATCTCAAAGCCATCTTACTTCCCATATTCCTCACTCTCAGACCTCATTATTTTCTTAGGAAAACTGTTCTATCAACATTTTCAAACAATTAAAGCTACTGAAAATGATGTGATCGCCAGTCTATGAAAAATGTCAAAATAAGTATCCTATCAATGCTTTTAGGAACATCAAAAGTATTAAAGCAAGTGTTTCTCCCAATGAATGTTAATTTGAATTTTTACGAAAATAAAATTCATATAGCCTTACTTACCCATACATGTTTATTTAAAATAAATACTAATTTTAAGGACTAATTTCAGCACAGTTAAATTAGCAAGCACTTTTTTGGGGGAAATACTTACACATAAAAGAATTTTTGAGGGAAGTTTAAAGAAAAATGCTTACTTCTATTGCATCATTCTTTTATGTTATCTTGATTGATAACAAAAAAAAAAAAAGAGAGAGAGAGAGATATGATTCAAATTAGCATGTTTCAGAAGTCAAATTAACAGCATACAGTTGGTTAGTTAGTTAATTCTGAGCACTGGCCCCCAGCCCACCTAGCAGGCGAAACCTGCCATATGGCTATGAAGGGACAGGCCAAGCCACGAAGGCATAACAAAAAAAAAAAAAAAAAAAATAATAAAGTAGATACATACATTCCAAACACTCTCGGTGAAATAATATATAAATGTAATGTTTCCATTTCTGTGTTTTTTCCTAAGTTTAAAATCTTTATAAGTTTTACTTTCAATTAGTTATTATTATTCAAATCTTCTTTATGTTATCAAAATTCATCTTAAATTTATACGTTACCTCAATTATTTCTGTTTTCAGTACGATTTTCTGCTTTGTTATATCGCCATACTAATATTCTTCTTATTCACAGTTTGCATAATATCTCTTGCAAATTTTCTAAACAATTCTTTCTGGTATTACATTAATTTATACTCAGATGCCTTATCTGCTATTATGGCGCTCTCCTGCCCCTTTCAAAAGAATATTGTTAATGAAATTAAACATATATATTTAGAACTACGAAAGAAGCATATTTTGAATTTACATTGGATCAAAGCTCACGCTGGTCATTATGGGAATGAGAGAGCGGATGCTTTAGCGAAAGAAGCCTCCCTGGGGGTTGGGACCAAAAAGGTTTTTATTCAAGATTCAAAAAAGAAGACATGTATTATAATATATTACAAGCTTATTAGAGACTGGAAAAATTTATCGAATCTCTCTGAAAGAAACAAAAACTATCTAAAATGTTTAAATATTAGCAAAAAAATGGGAATTTTAGAAGATGCAGATGTCACTCAAATTCTCACTGCACATGGAAGGTTCCCTGCTTACTTAAAAAGGTTCCACCTCCAGGAAAATGATATATGTAAAGTTTGTAATAAATTCGGCGATCCAAAGCATTTCGTCGAGGACTGTTGCCTGACTGGAAGTGTGAGAGAAAAATATAGATTTGCAAAGTTTGAGGATATATTTAGCATACAGTTGGTATGATTTTACTCCATATATTAGTGTTATTCCTTTCAAATTAAAACTCAAACATAGCACCAAATGAAATACAAATAGCACATTACATATTCCTACGCTTATCTCCGAAGAATGAAGAACTTGGAAACTAATAATTGCATGACCATAATCCTGCATTAAAATGCTGAATGTTAGAAATAATATTACTCTAATAATTAAATAAATATTAAACAGAATGACAAACACCTGCACTTTTTAGTTCTGTTTGTTAAGGGAAATTATGATTTAAAATGAATCTAAATAGTATGAATAAAAAAAAAATAATGAAAAATTATAAAAACATGGCATATCTGAAATTTTGAAATTAATATAAAAATTTGTTGAAACTAATTTGCCAATTTTATATGCCAATACATTCCTATGAATTCCTCCCTCTGGTTAATTTCATACATCATAAAGAAAAAATCTGATGTGTACACCACATGACTTCCTTGTACGGATTATTAAATTATACTCATTTTTTTCTTGCATTTCATTTAAACTTATTGGATTAAATTAAATCTACTTCGCCGACAGCGCATAAACCACAATAGAATAAATGCATTCTTTAAAATTCACTCTATTTGTTTACCATAGCGACACTCTGGCACTAGGTTCACTTAACAGTATTATATTTCGTTCATATTATAACTCAGAATGCACAAAATTTATATCATTCAAAGAATTATCTAATCATTCCCACATGTTCTATTCAAATACTATAAAAAAGCTGGAACGATGTATAAAAGACAACTCTACACTGTATAGATATGTGGCAAATACATTACAAAATCACACCTTAAGTAACTAGCCCTTGTAAATAGACATGAATACTTATTACACAGGGGTAACTCCTGAACACATACAGCAAACTGCATTATACAGCAAATCATTAACTGATTATGCATCATTCTCCATACTCTCCTGACACTTTCCAAAAAGATTACCATTTTTTTCCCCCTCTGTCAATGGGTAAATCAATATACTGGGTAGTGAAGGACTTCCATCAATTCCAGAGGCACTGGTTTTTACAAACATGGTATAAATGACCCTATCACAAGGCAGCAATACATTGCTGCTGCTAAAAATTAAACAGGTGTCCCCCCCCTTAACTCTCTTCAATTATGCTGCACAAAATTGGTTCCTTTGCAATAACCTAACACTTTTATCTAATAGTTGCCAAAAAATAGGTCCGAGTGCACTAATTTTTTCCAATAAATAGGTATGTAGCTTATTTAATAATAGTATTAAAGTATCAGCTACACATATAATTAACAACTTTATCAACCCTACAATTTATTCAAGTTTGCAAACTGTATATATGCCATATAAGAGTTAATATTAGTATACAGTACAAAATACAAGTGCCGTCTTTCTTAACACAACAGAATCACTTTTTCATACCTTATCCTATTTTGCATGTAACATTGATAAATAATAATAGCAATTTTCAAAGATTAAATTAAATTGTAAACTTCCAAACAATGATAAAAAAAAGGTATGTTTGGACATTTTCAGAATATGAAAACTAATGAGTTTATTGTCTTTACATTGTATGGATGAAAAGGTTCTAAAAAATGAAATCTTCCTGAATAATAGATCACATAAATACCCATAAAGATACCAAGTTAAAAAAACGCCTTAATATGTAAAAATAACTGCTATAAAACTTGCATTTTTAGAAAGATGTGTTATTTTTGATGCCATCAAATAAACAGATGATTAAAAATTAAAAGGTGATAATTATTTTTGCCAATCTAACCTTGAAGTTTTGTATCCACATCTTTAGCTAGATAAATTTCTTCTTCCCTTTGCTCCAAAGAATGAAAAATCCATAATATATTCCATAGCATTTTCTCCGACACACATTTAAATGGTAATACAGACATAAATTGCCATACTCCTAATCTATATTGAATACATGATATAATGAGTTAAATAAATAAAATGATTTTTAAAAATGTAATGTCATCACATGCATAATACATTACTAGACTCTCGTGTGTTTTGAGCTGCATATGATGTGCATATGCATCTAAGAAAATAAAAACAAAACATGAAAATTATATTTTAATACATAATTAACATTTAGCTACTCACAAAGCTGCAATAAGATACACTAATTTAAAAAGATTTACATTTGCTTATACTATAAATTGAAAGGAAATATCCATAAGTTTCCTTCACTGACAGCTAAATGACAATTCATAAAAATGTGTAAACAAAAGAATAATAGCAATACAATTGAGTAGTGCTGTTACTGTATTCCTAAAAATTAAAATACAAAATAAATTAGAATAAAATACAAAGGAAAATGCAAAAATAAATTTTTTAAAAAATCCAAACATTCTTCCTTAATTTAAAATCTAAAGCCAGATGCAATGTGAAAATGAAAATAAATAAAATCAGTGAATAACAAAATTATACATGTCTTAGCTAATAACACAAGTATGTGCCCCCTAATGAAGGATGTATGCTATACTGCTGGCCATTAAAATAGCAACACCAGGGAGGAATGATCTGACGATTGTTAAAATCACATGAAAGGAAGAAGTTGGGATATGCAAATGATTAGTCCTTCAGCACATTTAGACGACGCAGGTGGGAGAAACATCAAATGATGCACTGCATAAAAGAAAAGTTGTGTAGTGGATTTCTCGTTCGGAAAGTGCTTTGTAAGGTTGGAGTTTGCTCAGAATATTGTGTTATGCCTCAAATAAGAAGAGGAAATGCTTACCAGAAAGTTTCAAAATTCAATAGAGGCAGGATCGTTGCCTATCGAAAGTGCAGATATCGTTACATGATATCACCAGTCGCACTGGTCGACATCCAACCACTGTCATGTGAATAAGGAATCAATGGATTTTTGGGAGTCATACGGAACGGCATGCAGGATCTCAACACCCTTCCATCACTAACGTCAGAGAGGACAGATATATTGTGAGGTCAGCCCTGAAAAACCATACGACCATTAGTCAGGAAATGTGCATGTTTGCAGCAAGCTTCGTATCAGCTCGTAAGGTGCGTTGATGTTTGCAGCAGCATGGACTACCACCAGAATGACCATTACTTTGGCTTCCCCTGACAATGCAGCATAAAGAGAGACGATGACTCTGGTGTGCCAAATGACAAGGCTGGGTACAGGAGTGGCACAATGACACTTTTTTAAATGAGTCTCGGTTCTACCTGCCGGTTCTGATTGGACGTATATGTGTCTGGAGTGTTTGAGTAGACCGCACGTTGCCTGCTTGCATTTGATATCGGCATAGGGGCTCTGTACCTGGTGTGATGGTTTGGGCAGACATTGGGTACACGACATGCACATCTCTAGTTCAAATCGCCAGTAATTTGAGCGCAGATGATTACATTTCTGACATTTTATGTCCAGTGGTTGTGCCCTATTTTTGAGGCCTGCGAAACGCTATGTTCCAACAAGATAGTGCAAGACCACATGTTGCACGTTGTGTCCTGACCTTCCTCTATATACGAGGGCTATCCAGAAAGTAGATTACGTTTTGGAATAAAAAAACAAACAAAGTATAGGAAACAAATTTTATTATATACAGATGAAAGCCACACTCAAATACTACTTTTCTACATAGTCACCATACAAATTAAGGCATTTATCGTAGCGATGTACGAGCTTGGAAATTCCTTCGTCGAAAAATTCGGCCGCCTGCGCCTTCAACCACTTCGTTACCTCTTCTTGCCTTCCATCTTGCACAAAACATGTGGTAACCAAGCTTTTCGCTGATGATTTCGTGCAACAAACTTCGCGAAATTTGTGGAAAACTCAAAGAAAGTTCCGTTATTGTGAAATTTCGATTTTCACGGACTTTAGCATCATCGACTTTTTCGAGAAGTTCGGCGGTCACTATGCTGGGTCCTCCCACTTCGATCTTCGTCGTGAACGTTTGGTTCGGCCATTTTGAAATCTTATGACCCACTGACGCACTCCACCTTCAGTGATAATGTTGTCCCCATACACTTCACGAAGCTGCCGATAGATTTCTATCGGTTTACAGTTTTTTGCAGTCAGAAACCTTATTACTGAGCGCACCTCGCAGCTCGCGGGATTTTCAATTAACGCAGACATTTCAAACCGTCACAGTATCTGAACGGAGCACAGCACGAACCTCTCACTAGCACGGCTAGATGCAGACTGAGCTGCGCAACGCTCTGACCCCAAGATGGCCGCGCTAGCCCCGCCCCTAGCGGACACAGACGGAAACGTAATCTACTTCCTGGATGGCCCTCGTACTAGGTATTCGACTGCTGCTCTGTCCTGCGCGGTCTCTAGATCTGTCACCCATTAAAAACATCTGGTCACAGGTTGCAGAGAGACTGGCCCGCCACCCCTCTCCAGCTAATATGGTTGATGAAGTGTGGCATAGACTTGAAGCAGCATGGAATAAGTTGACAATTTCTGCCATCCAAGCCCAGTTTTAACTCCATGCCTAATGGGGTACGGGCCATTTAAGTTGTCAGAGGTGGCTGTTGTTTCTACTAAATTCGCACCTGTACAAACCTCCAAAATGCTTACAAATTTAATCATTTTGTTTTCATAATATACTGTTTACATGCAACAAATATCTTTTTTGCATCTGCTTTCTTTCATAGTGTTGCAATTTTAATGGCCAGCAGTGTATTTCATTGTCCACTGATTTTGTTTATCTTCATTTTTATAGCCCTTCCTTCTTTAGATTTTAAATTAAAAGGAAATATATATATATTCTTTTGGCTTATTATTATGCAATACTGATGTTCTTTTTCTTCTATTTATATTCACTTAATAATTATAAAGCTAATTAAAAAATTTAGAAATTTTAAACAACAATCTTCAGTGATATAAAATAAGAGTATCTCTCGAAACATTACATAAGAACTCTTAACTAGCACAAATGCCTCAGCTCTCCATTTTAATTTGATTACTTCTGTTTCCTGTTCTAAAAATAGTAATTAAAAAAAAAATCCTCTCTAAACTGCATCATTTCAAAATTAAATGTTATTATATGATTTGTACATAAAACTCATAAAGCAAAGGCTTACATAATGCTTCATCAATTAATTTCAAATTTGGGAATTGTAACTTTTAAAAACCAATACGGATTAATCAGAACTAAAACTAATTCTTTCTGAACAGTGATTTCATCCTGGACATGTCACATTTGTTCTCCACTTCTCTGTCTAGACAGGTTGCTGCTGCTTCTCATCTTACTGTGACATCTTAAAAAATGTAAAATTCACTCAACAATGGGCAAGCTTAGCATCAAATTATCAGTGATGCATTAAGTGATTGCCAACTAGAATCCATAAATATTAGGCTGGACATGAAATAATGCATCTTACATGTCTTCTTGTTATTCTTTCCTTGAATGGCAACGGCAGCTGCTTTCAGCTTTGTTTATATTGATTTTATTTTTATTTCTTTCAACCGTTAGTGAAATGAGGGGTGCAAAAAAGAAAAAAAACATTCGTCAGTATTCGGAGGCATATTTAAAATTTGGTTTCATACCTGGTCCATTAAACGATCAACTTTTGTTTTTTATGCCAATAATGCCTGACCAACGAATCAATGAAATTAGGTCGTCTTGAGGCACATTTGAAAGCGAAACATAATGCTGATATTAATTCAGATTTGAATTATTTTCACAGTTTAAGGAAAATTTTTTAAAAAAATAGTTATATTAAAGTCTCTGTTTACTGCTCATAATGCAACTGTTAATCGTACTCTTGAGGCTATTCATCAAGTTTCATTACTCATCGCTTAATCTGGGAAAAGGCCTTACTATAGGGAAGAATTGAATCAAACCAACAATATCAGCATTTAAAACTGTTCTAGAAAAAGATGACAAAGACGTTAAAGCTATGCCACTAAATAACAATACTGTTTGCAGAAGAAAGATTAAATGAGGATATTGAAATACAACTTGTTGAAAAGCCAAAAACAAGAAAATTTTCAGTGCAAATGGATGAACCAATTTTGAGAGACAGTGAGGCCATACATGTAACTTATGTAAAATATATTCATAAAGGGATTTTGCCGAAGAAATGTTCTTCTGTAAATCATTTGAAAGCACCACTACCTCCAAAGATATTTATAGTAAGCTAAAAAATTACTTAGATATAAAAAATATATCGATAAAAAATATAATACATCTTGTACTGCAGATGGTGCTCCTACCATCTTTTTCTGAAAATAAGACATCCTCAAGCCCTATCGTGATTTTCGGAACTTTTTGTAAAATAAGACACCTTCCGAAAATAAGCCCCATCGTGATTTTCGGAACTTTTCGTAAACTAAGACATCCCCCGAAAATAATCCCTAGTTAAAATAAAGTGACAAAAAGAATTCATTAAAAAATGCTGTTGATTTATTAAGTATAAGTAATAATATGTTTAGCTTTCCTAATATTCGTAATTCAGAGAAATGTTTGAAACAAAATATTCCGAGAAATTAATTGTTTACCTCTATAGTTCATTTCAAATGAATTCTTGGAATTTATTTTAACCAGTTACCGTTTGCCCCGAAAGAGATACATTCACAGGAAAGGCATCGTCATCCGTTAGCGTCGGCACACTCTCGGCGGGGTGAAATTAGGTCTGAACCGTAATCCCTGAGACACACATAACGCAGCGACCTTTTTCCAACCCCCACAGAATGAGTCGAAAATCAAAAGGGGTGATTGATGGGTTACTTAACATCTCAGCAGTGTCGTATTAGGATCACAGCAGGGATGTTTCAGGAAAGTAAAGGATGGGGACACTTTCCTCGAATAGCTACCCCCTCAACATATCTTATGAGATCCACAACAGCTTTCTACCTTTCTATTAACGAAAAAAGGGATTTGAATGCTATCTTTTCAATTCTTAACTATTCAATTCTTCTCTTTTGTTACAGGCCATCA